ACTGGTTACCTCAGCACCGCTGTCAGCTGGAGATAACTGGGATGCAGACACGCGGCAGCCCAAATCCCTGCTGCCCTCCCCCTTTCTGCAGCAAGGGCAGGTCCCATTATTCTGGCCTGGAGGTGAGCAGCCAAGTGTGTGCACCAGCCGGCAAATGAATATATAAATATTTATTCAAAGGAAGAGAGGAACAGACGTTCCCGAGGCTGCACTTGCCGCGTACGCAGCAACTCCGGGGAGCCTGCAACTTGTCTTCTGTCCCTGTTCCTGCCTCCTGTCATCTCACACACCCTGGATTTGCCCCTCTGCCTCCCCACCTTCTGCCCCCCCAGCTCCTGTCCTTCACCTCTACATCTTTCATGTCCCTTTCTCCTGTGTTTGGGACTTTTTTTTGAGCACTGCAATGCTGCTCTTTAAGACTTTGGGAATCTTTTCCTAAAGTTTAAGTAAAGCAAGTTCTGATAACTTACCTTTTCCCAGATCTATAAAATTAACTTCCCAGAAACCTTCCTGAGATGGGATTTGCTCTGCAATACCAGGGCTCTCACATAGCTCCATCCCACCTATACACGTGTAGCTGCGGGAAAGCAGAATTCCCAGCTTCTGCCAACCAATTCTCCGCAAGCCTGGACACATCATTTTATCTTTCCATTGCCTTATTTCCTTGTCTATGGAACAGGAGGGACGTTACTTTTATCTCCTTATAGCAACATTTCTGTTCCTCTCCTTCAGCCTACCAATTTCAAAAGCAGAAGGGAAAGAGATGCTTCCAAATGCTTTCACCTTACAAAGAGATGCTGAAGAGGGGACCAGCGCATCTGTCTTTGGTTCACTTGGACACAGGGAGAGGAATTGAGCTGCTGAATGAGGGACCCTTGTATCTACCCAAGGTTGGTACTGCTGGACCCCCAAAGCCAGGCAGAGGCTCCCTCCCCCCCGGCCAAGCTCCCCACCCCAAATCACCCTGCGTCTCCATCGCACTGTTTAAAGATTCCAGGCTAAGTAAACATCCCCCTTCATTTTCTTCGTCTAAATAGAAATGTTTTGATTTCGCATCAATCTGAGGAAGCCGTTTATAACCTGAGCCTGTCACACGGACTTTTCATCTCTGCCCAGGACAAACTCTCCCACATGCTCTATTTACACTGAGCACTTCCTCTGAAAACAATGCCACCGGGAGTTTACTCCGCTTGCCCCCTCCCCACACCCTGCAAGGGGACACCGGCTCCCTCCCCTCCGCACCCAGCCCCGTGGCATCTTGAGAGCAAACCTCCCTTTGAAGAACAGCTAATGGCTTGTCACAACCAACCAGGCCTGGCAAGGAGCAGGACAAAAGACACCTCACCATTTTGCTCCCTCGTCCCCCTTGAACTTGATGCCCACAAGCCCAGCTCTGTCCCCACTGCCCCTCTTTCCCCTGGACCGCATGTGCTGCAGTGCCCTGTGTGCAGCTCTGGGCTCTCTCCTTCCATGCAGTCCCTAAAGCAGCACCTCCTCAGCCATGAACTCCACAGTGGGGTGCTGCCAAGGTGGGCACAGCTTAGCTCTGCCTCCCTCCAGGGGAGAAGAGGGGCTGAGGGGGACACAGCATGTCTGGGAATGAAGGGCTTTGCAGCATGGACAGAAATAGGGCATCCTGGGCAAGGGGCAAATGCTGCTGTGACTAGAAGGTCTGGCTTTGCAGGAAAAGGAAAAGAGAACCAAAGTATGGCTTTGGCCTGGGGTCAGTGAAGAAACACACCCTGGTAGAGAGGAGAAAGGGTCCTGGCTGTAAGAGAGGCATGTGGGAGCTGCATGAACCAGTCGGCAGGGTGGAGGAGAAGGGGCCCTGGCTATTTACTGGTGCGGGAACTTAGTGGTGTAGGAAGAGCCGGGGGCACAGGGGGGACCCTGATGGATGGTATGGGGCTGAGAAGGGGCAGGAGAAGAGGGAAAGGAGAAGAGGGAAAGGAGAAGAGGTGCAGGAGGGCCGGTGCTGCAGGGAGAGGGGTGCTGGCTGGGGAGGGATGGCACGCTGTCACTTCAGAGGGCTGGGTACGTCGAACAGATGGAGCTTTCATATTCCTATTGAAGAGTTTTAAGCCCAGCTGAGCAGCTCCGTTCAAGAGGGAGGTCCCAGTGCCAGCTTTCCAGGAGCTGCAAGCTCTCATTCGATTAATTATTAACGGTATTATTTGGGGCGGGGAGGGGGAGGAAGGAGGGCTGACATGCTGCACAGTCCTTTTCTCTTTTAACCACTCTGGTGCAAGCTTGACTGGAGAGACTCCAGTCTGCCTGGGAGCCCCAGACAGGGAGGCAGCATGGCTCGCTGGGTGAGGATGCTGCTGAAGCCTCTTCACACTTGAGCCAAAGGTTTGGAGCTCAGGACAGAGCCAAACCCTCACAGAAGAAGGCTGCTGGGGCATTGGGCTTCCTCAGAGCAAGGCCCTGGTTGTGCCCAGCCACATGCCAGGAGGAGGCAGGGAAGGCAGCCAAACGCTCAGCCCCTTCCAGAAAACACTTCCCTTCCAGCACAAAGCCTTGTGCATTATCCCGGGCAGGGCCAGGGCGAAGGCAAAGGCAGCAACAGCCCGGGTATGGCCCCCAATGCGTGAGAGTGGATTTAGTGTGTATTTTCCCCTCTTCA